CTATATTTTTATTTTCATGTATCTCAGAGTTTTTCCTGGTTCCCCAAGTGATTTATTATTTAACTAGTTTGTTGATTGAGAGTGTTATTTGATTTCCACATATTGGTATACCTTCCAGTTTTCTTTTCTTTTTCTTTCCTTCTTTCTTTCTTTCTTTCTTTCTTTCTTTCTTTCTTTCTTTCTGTACTGGGAATTGAACTCAGGGCTTTGTACATTCCAGGCAGGCACTGTGTTGCTGAGCTACATCCCCAGCCCTTCCAGTTTTCATTCTTTTCCTAAATACTAGTTTTATTGCACTGTGTTGAGAAAATTTGTGATTCCAACCTCTCCAAATTTATTAAGAATTATTTTATAACTAAAATATGGTCCACTCTGGAAAATGTTCAGCGTACACTTGAGAATAAGATGTAACTGTTTTTCTTTGGTTATGATATTTTTTCTTCACTGTCTCTTTTATGCATGTTTTATTGATGGCTATTTTCCCTACTACCATATTAGTTTTCCATGTGCCCATATCTTTATTAATGTCCCTTGTTCACATTTCCTACATGATCTCTTCATACCTTCCTCTGACAGATATAATCTTTGTAATTTTAAACATGTACAAGTTTATGTAGCATTGTTTTCTTTTGTTGTACTGACAATAGTGGAAACACATTTATTGGGACTTAGAAGTGAACATGTTCTTACTTTCCAAGTTGTTTCTTTTTTGAGTTTAATACTGAGAAATTTCCCATTTCTAGGATAATTATTATGTGTCTACTTAGTTAATTCATTCAACACACATTTTTCTAGTGCATACAATTCTCCAGGGTCTATGGTAGTATGTGTACCACAAGATGAACATCTACAAAGAACCATGAGAGAAAAATAGAAAGGGAACTTCAATTGAACTCTTAAGTACCTAAGTGGGTGAAAAGGTCTATAAATTAATATATCATATTTAATTCATATGAAAAAATATATCAGTTCACATTAAAGTCTATTATTCTGTTGAAATGTCCGATGAAATTCTAACAAAAAGCATAATTGCTAAAGATAATACCTATATATTCTTTTTTTTTCTAGTATCATAGATTGAAAACAGGATTTCTGCACTGAGCTACATCCCCAGGCCTTTTTAATTATTTTATTTTTTTTAATTTTGAGAAAGGATTTCACTAAGTTGCTAAGTTGCCCAGGTTGTAATCAAACTTGCAATCCTCCTGCCTCAGCCTCCCTGAAGGCTGAGATTACAAGTATGTATCATTGGGTCAGCCAATATATTATTTCTTAAATACATACCTGTGTAGAAGACCATACATAATGAATACTATATACTTTTGCATAGTTCATTTATGCATTTCAATTCAACTAATGACAATAATAATTTCTTATACTTTGAGCACAAAATACTGAATAAGGCATATCTTTAGAAAATAATCAACCTATGGAACACCATGTAAAGTATGTCAATTTTTCTGAAATGAAATAAATGACTTGACCATAAGCAGTACATTACTACAAAGAAAACATGACTGGTATTGGAACAATAAATGAATGTTAATAGTCCTAAATTATACTTGATTTTGTAGATATACCTTGATTTAAATTTCATTATTGAAATATTTTTATATATAGACGTATGTACTTTAAAAGAAAAATTGCTGTTTTCCTCCCTTCTCTATTCTTTCTTCTTCTCCCTACCTTTTCCCAATGCTGATTGTGTTCACTTAGTTCTTTCTAAAAGTTTCTCAACAAATCTCATCTGTAAAATTTTGTCTTGTTAGGGCTGTAGCTCAGTGGTAGAATGCATGGTTAGCATGTGCAGGGCCTTGGGTTTGATTCCCAGCACAGAAAACAAAGGCGAGTCAGAAACAGAGACAGACAGAGACAGAGAGACACAGAGACAGACAGAGACAGAGAGAGAGAGGCAGAGAGGCAGCATAGTGTCATTGAATAAAACATTTAAAATTTTGAAATCTGTCTTCTGAAAAAGTTGATATCACAATATAATCAATTTCATAAGCAAAATAATTAGAAAAGGAATATGCAAAACAGCTAGCATATGGCTTTCCATAAAGTAGTTCCTCTTATTATCTAAATGTCCATTTTAATAATAATATAATAATTAGGATTAAAATAATGATGAATCAGGTGTATACTCAGTTACCTTTATCTTTCTTTTCTTCAGAAGTTTGTATATACTCAGCATCTTCCATGTCTCACTGTTCATTCCTGCTTGAGTGTGTGTTACTCCAAAGCAACTTTTCTCATTTAATTCATTACCATTAGTAACTTTCTTCTAGTCAAATTTATTCAATACATTTGCATTTCTCTCTGTCTTTCTCTTGCTCCCCTATATCTATATAATCTACATAGATTTATTGTATGTATGTCCATATATAGAGATGTAACTAAAATGTCTGTGTATCATATTGAAATTTTGCTCTCATATCTTCCAAATTCTGTTAATTTAATATTTTTAAGGATTCTGTCTTCTGATCTTGCATTCAACCACCTCAGTTATCTCTGAGACATAGTCTAGATCTTCAACTTCTCATAGCTAGTAGCTACTGATTCCCATGTTTATTAACAACCACTGCTATTTATCTGTTTTATATATACTTTGGTCCATTGGCCTATTTGAACATCAAACTGATATTACGAGTAATTTTAAAATCCATATAATTCAAACTATATTTATTTTTCCAACAGTTATGCTTTGGGTCTAGATGTTCCCCCAAAACCTCACTCAGAGGTGACTTTTTCAGAGGTGACTGAATCTAAACTGTGTGATGCTAGGATTAAGGGCATGTGATTACTAAACCAGTACACTGATTGGTTTGTCACTTCCCGTTACCCAGTAGTCTGAATAAGATAAAGGGGGCAGAAAGACACTGTTAAGGGTCCCTTGTTGCTTTGCTACCTTTGGTTCACCATTAACTGTTGCCCTTCTGCCATGTGCCACTCTGCCTTGGAGCCAGCTGATTACAGACTGAAGCCTCTACAAACCGTGAGTTAAATAAACCTTTGCCCCTTTAACTTTGGGTAGCTGGTATTTTGTCTCAGCAAGGAGAGAAAAGTAACTAACACACCTACTTTTGTCATCTCTTCCTTTTGCTTTTATTAATGGCAACATTGTTCACTTTGTGAGTCTAAAATCCCCCCTAAATTTCACCAGAAATTATTCCTTTTTGCTGTAGTTGTTCTATGTGATTAAGAAATCCACAGGTCCTCTCTTTCAAGTGTCATTTCAACCTATCCCCATTTCCTTTGTTGTCTCTGTCATCTCTAGGAATAGCATAATTATATCTTATCTGGACTATTTCAGTAGCCCCCTAACATTGCTCCCTGCCTTTGGTCACTTCTGTCTTCTAACTCAGCTTCCACAAATAAGCCATATCTTTCTGGAGTTCAAATAAGATCATATTAATAGAAATAGCTTTAATTAGGACAGATAACTAACACCTGGAAATCTGCTATACAGCATAGTGCCTGTACTTAACAATCATATGTGGTATACTTAAATTTTGCTAGGAGAGTAGAACTTACATGAAGTGTTCTTATTCACCAGTGACACACACAATTAATAAAGGAAATGAGAGGAAACTCTGGAAGGTGATGGGTATGTGGATGGCAGTATGGTGGTGCTGATTTCATTAGTGTATACCAATCCCTAAATTAATTGAGTTGTATTTATTAAATGTGTATAGCTTTCTACATGTCAATCATACCTCCACAAATTGGTTATTTTAAAAAAGAATAGCCAACAATTGTGTAGCACTTATTAAATGACAAACATCATTCTGAGAGTTCTCTGGATATAATGGCTTCAAATTACTCTAATGGCTTGTGTATTCTAAAAGATAAAGGTGCATTCCATTAACATCACCTGCAAGGTCCTTCTCATCTTTATCTCAAACTATTTCTATGTGTATCTCTAGTGATCCTGAAACAACATTGCATGTTCTTTCATCCAGCCATGTCACTGCATAATCTGTTTTTGCCTAGGATTCTTGTTCACTTATCTGTTTGGGAAATGCCTACTTATCCTTCTAGACTTAGTTCAAAAATTAACTCAGCTATTCTCTCAATGAGTTTTCCTAAAGATGATGCATATTGTCATTTTCTACAACTTGCATATCCCTTTTCTATTATTGTTTTTTAATTGTCATTCTTTCTTTTTATTCTGCTGGTATCCACAATACTAAGCTATTTGGATGTAGGGTCTATATTTTATTTACATCTGCATCTCTAGGTCCTGGAACAGTACCTGAGAAACTAAGTTCCTAGTAAGACTTTCTAAATGAATTGCTTGACCAAACACACAAAAATGACCTTTGTTACAAAATGTACAGGGTCTCATTCATATACCCCCCTCAAAGTAACTAAATTCCTTTGCATGGTTTTAATCAAGAAAATACATTTTGTTATTAAATAACTAATGAAATAACCTCTCCTTTTACTTACATTACAAAGATTATAATGATTATATTCCTTGATGTCAAACCAAAACCAAATTCACCCGAAAACAATGGTATTTCATACTGTAATTTTGAAAACTCCCCTTCCTTGGTTTAATCAACCAAACCAGACACATAAGAGGAAGAGAATGAGTTCTCTTGGCAGCCTTCTTCTCTCTCAAACTTAAAATACTAATATCATCCGTTTAAACTAAAAGCAAAAGAGAAATAAGTATAGGAAGTCGAGAAATATGGTACAGTTAGATTTTCCATTAAGGAAATTCCCCTTGAACTAAGATGGAGACAAATGCTAATAAGCAGTATAATTTAACAGAGGGGAAAAAAAAAGCATGAATTTAATTTCCAGGCTATTTAAGTACAGTTTATATTTTTTATTAACGGTGGGGCAGTGACTCTGTGTTTCATCTCTCTGAGCCTCAGTTTACTTATCATTAAAGTAAAACCAATATTCCCTGCCTCACATGCAACCAAGTACTGATGTGTGCTTTGAAACCTGACGTGCTGTATTGTGACATGTGCAGCTAATTCACTCACCAAATACAGTTCTTGCAGGCACAGACTCTCTGTTAAGCCAGAATGACACTTGGGAGAGAATGACAGTCATGATGCAAGGCAGATAGGTCTGAATCACAAAATACCCAATTTTTCTTTTCAAGTGGAAATGAGCTGTCATTACAGTATATTCACCTGGAAGAAAAATTTTAAAAGCTTAAGGAACTGTAATAGCCAATAGTTGGAACATTTTTGAAATGGAAAGGATTAGAGAAAGAATAGTGTTTGATAAAAAAAGAAAAGATCACATACCTATCATCAAAACTATGCCAATTTGAAACACCTCTTTAGCATAGCAAGAGCATTTAGAAGAGAAGGTTCATAATGTCAAGAAACTAGCTCTGTATGCCCCATGATAAGGTATTTGTTTTTCTTTTTCAGTCATGGCTCTTAAGCAACAGGATTCACAATTCATAAAGGCTTTCTGCCAGTAGATTATCTTACTTGTTTGGGTCCCTCATCCACACAGATACTGACTTCAAGTTTCTGCTGTGACTGATGCGCTCAATCTTCCTTTGCTCTTTAAAGTGTAGATCTCTGGCCTCATCTCTAGCACAGAATTTCTGGCCCACATTTTCCACTTTTAACCTTGTCACCAATTCTGAATTTTTCTCTGTTGTATGTCTACTCTAATTTGTTTCAGTCCATTCTATCTGATCCTCCTATCTACCTTCCTTTTTTTCTCCCAGGGCTTTAATTATAGCCAGATGTAAGATAATTAGTCCACACAGCTGCTTCTTTCTTACATGGCAGTGGCCCTCAGAGAGAGAATAAGCTTTTCCACAGAGGCCAGTAGTAATTATCCATAAATAAAGAGTTGGGTAATCATGAACTATCCAGAAGAAAAGGAAAAGAATTAGAAAACTAGACAAAGTGTTATCACTTGTTTGAAGGTAAATGTTAAAATCAACTGGTCTGAGAAGACATATTTTCAAATATGTAGTGTATTTAGGCCAGTGTCACTCAAACTTTAATGCACATATGAATCTTCTTGAATTTTATAAAACACATATTCTGATTCAGTGAGGGGTATAGAGCAAGATTTTGAACGTCAGGAAACCTCCCATGCAGTCTGTGCCATTAGTTTGTAGAAAACAAAATGTTTTAAGTAAAATGACATTTTCAATGACTTCATAGTTTTTCTTCAGAATATTTTTACTAACCTGTACTGGATTTAATTGTCTCCTTCCCAATTGATTGGCCCAGTAAGTCATACTGATTTAACCTGGAGCCATCAGGAGCAACTTGTACTGAATCAGATGCATTGTAAGTCCAAATATAAGTGACTTCTGAGGTTGTATATGCATCTGTCAAAATTGGAAAACAAACATGGAAGCTCCTCAGTAAGAACTGCTAATAGAATGCAACTTTGAAGTTTGTTTATCTCATGCAATCATTTACTATAAACTTAATATTTAAAGATTACATTTTTAGGGCAAAAATTTACAAATTTAATACAAGTTATATGAAGAAGATCAAGAGAATCATGAACCTGAGAGTATTCATTGCAACCATTTTGAAAAGTGAAGAGCAAATTTCTCTTTAGCACCTACAAAAAACGCTGTGATCTAACACAGTTACAACATCCTCATTAGTCCCAAGGTAGCAGATGAAAATATTGTGATAAGTTATGAATGTCCTTGTCTAGTCAGTTTATTTAGAAATAGCAACCATTCATGAAATAAAAATCATAATCTAAATTTATATTGCTTTCTGAACATAAAACTAACTTTGATTCAAGTTATATGACTTAGTAATCATGGTAATATATTTTATTAGAAGATTAAGAAAGAATTTCAGGACATGTTTAAATTAATTAGTGCTCATGAATGTCACTCAACTATACTCTTACAGATTCACAGAAAGAGACAAGACACAGACAGAGCAGACATAACTTTGTCATTTATTGGGCCAAAGATGCAGAACTAAGCAGAAGTGAGAAGACTCTAGAGCTGGAGTACAGGTGACATATCTGGCCTTAGCCTTCTCTACTCGGGTATTTCTCTTGTCCTTATGCGCTTTGTAGGGAAACAGGTAACCTCTTCATGTAGGCAGTCTCTCCATGATGAAAAAAAAAACATAATTTCTGCTACTCTGATGACATTTTGCAAAATATCTATATACATTTTTATTCATATGAATGCTTAGAAATATTAATTACTCCTGATGTCTGAACAAAACTCAGTATTACAACCACATTCTCTATGGTGGGAGAAAAAAGACCAGTTGTTTCTGGCAATATCTCCACCTCTAGCTCTCTAGAACAAAGGAAGTCTCATTTATTTGTCATCAATAAATTTTACCACTTAATATCACCATGCTGCAGTGATCCTTGTACTGAACTTGATCCAAGATCTGTGATTGTAATAAACTTTAATTCAAGCATTGGTAATACTACATGGAGTATTTATGAGTTTGTCTCTTTCTTTTCCTATGTAATCTTTTAATGACATATTTCAATGTTCTTTGTTTTTTTAATGTAGCTACTAAATGTTAATATCAGTGAAATACCATTTTACTTATACATGCATTCATCTACATCCATAAGCAAATTATACTATGTGAAACAACATGTGAAATAGGGCCCTTTAAAATAGTGTGTGTGTGTGTATACACAAATTTATATATATAAATATATATACCATATGTGTATGTATATGCTTCAATAGCAGATAACGATACAATTGTACATTAATGAATTCTAGTTATTCAAAGGTCTTAGCTGCCTATTAATTAATTTCAATTAGATAACACTAATAATTCTTCTGAAAAGATGAAATAATAACTTAGTACTGCGATTCACTAAAACTAATTTGAAGAGCATCAAGTGACTTGTTTTGTTTTGTCCATGAATACATAGGCTGGCCTTCTCTGCAACAAAATTTCAAATGCTAAAAATTCAACAAATCAGAAGATATATTGCATGTGTCACTTCATATCAGAAAACCTTCACAATACTCCATAGCTATGAATTTTAATAAATTACTAATTTCTGAAAGTAACTGTAATTACATAATGTTTGAATTTTCATGTTAACTTGAAGCATAAGTAAGAGAAAGGAAAGTGTATAAAAGTAATAATATTCTTAAGAAATTAGTGAGCTATTGATGGAAAGAGACTCTGATTCATGTCTTTCAGTAATTTTCAATTTGTTCTTGTTAGATTAATGAGTAAACTCAATATTTTAATGTAAAGTACAGATATAGAAGATGGAAATATGGAGAGACAAGCCAAGAATATATTGCAAAAAAGTGACCCTTCATAAGTCTTTTAAAAAAGCAGTTATTGCATTGAATCAGGTAGGAATCTACTATATTTCATTTGTATAGATTTTTGATCTGATAAAAAATACATAACAAACCGTGTGCCTTGTCCAAGGCAAAATGCCTTTCCTTCCTATACCACTAATGCATCTTGGATAAATTCTTTTTGTGATATTAAGGCTTTTCAAGCTTCTTTTTAATGACACTTAGGCAATGCAAATGAGTCTTTCTCTGCTGCATCTGCTGTGGGTTTCTCAGCATCATGTTTATATTGTATGCCATGATTGACTAACTTAAATATGTTAGAAGAAATATCAAAATCAAAGTGATGGTTTCCATGACAATAAAGAAAGGCTTTGTGGTTAAACAAAGAGGAGATTCTCGAAGAAAATTGAGAACTGACACCTCTTGTAAGAACGCATGAGGCATACAAGACTGAACTTACTCCACAAAACTATGGTCATCAAAATAATTAGAGGGTTTGGTATTCACATTAGTCATCATTCTTTTCTTTTCACTTGATACAGTCTATAGAATGCCACACTCTTCAGTAATACATATTTTTAATCAGGTGAGAGCACTGTATTTCTATTCAACAGAGAAAAAAAGTCCCAAACTGCCCCAAATTGACAAGGATGGGGAGCACAATTTCAAAAAGATCAGGCGAGTGGACAAGTTCACACAAGAGTGAAGCTGTTTAGCTGGGTTCATGAATTTAATTCTCAATCTGCCTAGAGAAATAATTTGACCTTCTCCCTTTTGCATTACTGCAGAATGTGCATGCTTCTGCTTGATATACAAGATATAACCCAGTGACCTAAAGAATGGCCAAAGGCACAGAAATGTTCTGTGTACACAGAAGGTGCCTGTATGCAGCAGTCCAATGACATCATATTCTTCAAATTTAAGGGGAAAACAATCCCTTCCATTAGGTACACAGTACAAAGGACAACTGCACAGACTCAGCTTCTGTGACTGCTTTTTCCAGCAGGCTAAGTACAGATGATAGAATCTATCTTGTATAATTTTTTCTTAGTTGATGAAAAAGAAATTTATTTTACATGTTCTACATTCTTTGAAAAAGATGGTAAATTACAGTCCTGACCTTATGGGAGCTCCCAGTCTACTTTTACACATGTACTAAATATTATGTGCTCTTTCCTAGCCATAAAAGGAGTGATAATTTAAATACCATAATCAAAATATTTAAGAGTAATCTGGTGCTAGCAAATTAGCTCCTTGAGTGTAATTAGCACATCTTTTAGTTCTATAACTTATTGGGTAAGTACAGTATTAAGCATTCCATAATATGTGAAACAACTACACCCCAGAGAAATGCTGCTGCCTATCCCTCATATCGACCCAAAACATGCATTTTCATCCTTGTACTTACAGCTGCCAAATTTCAGAGGACATGAATGAGCATCCATCGGAAAATCCTCCAAGTGCATTGGACATTCAGCTTGAACTGTAAGCCTAAAAGTCAAAATGCCACTCTTTGTTTAAGTAAATTGGCAATTCAACAAAAAGTCTTTGTTTCTATTGTCAACAAGCTAGTGACAAGGTGGTACTTTTGTCACAGAATCATATTGGGTAATTAACATTTAACTATATTTTTGTTCATTCATTTTAGGAACTTTCATAGAAGACATTGGGTTATTCCAAATCTGAACATAAATAAAAAATTAAAGGTAAATCTTACTTAGCCATTTTATACTCTCTTGTTTGTAAGAAGTAATTAGATATGCATTTTGAAAGGCACTTTCTCATTAACCCCAGTGTTAATGTTTAAATCTTAAAGGAAAAAATAAACTATATTATGAAGAGATTGCCATGTTTCCTGTCATTTTGTTGACAACCATATAGTAAAGTTGATAAAAGTTCAGTATTGACTCAGAAGAACTCCCTTCAAAAATATGTCAACTATGAATGAGTATTTGTATACAAACACAATTTAAATACAGAAATAAATGTAAGTTTATATATAGATGTAAGATACTAAAAATATACTGACAATAAATTATTGGCTAAATTATGGACACAAGTTCTGAATATTAAATACACATCTCCTGTATCTAAATAAAACAAGGATGATGATAATAGCAATCATGGAAAAAAATTCCAATTTTTCTCTTTTTCAGTTATTTCATTTCACACAAAAGCAATATGAATAAAGCAGATACTAAAATGGAACACAGACAAATCTGTCCTTACTGAGCATAGCAACTGTCACCAAAGATTGACCATTGCTTCTATACTTCTAAGAGAGAATTTAATTTGTGACTCTCAAACGACCAGTGATGTTGCACATTTTTTCACATATTTACTCACCACTTGTACTTCTTCATATGAGAAGTGTCTGTTCATTTCAAATGCCAGCTTTTGGATTGAGTCTTTAAATTTGGGGGATCTGATTTCTTTTTCAATTCCTTGTATGTTCTAAATATTAGTCCTTTGTCTGAGGGAATACTAGCTAAAATGTTTTCCCTCTCTGTGGGTTGTCTCCTTACTCTGTTGGTGATTTCTTTTATGGTCCAAAAGCTTTTTAATAAGATAAGATCCCAGTTGTCAATTTTTTGTATTATTTCCTATGCAGTCTGGATTTTGTGCATGAAGTCTTTTCCTACTGCTATGTCCTCAAGAGTTCCACCTATTCTCTCTTCCAGCCAATTTAGTGTTTCTCTTTTAATATTTAGATTTTTGATACATTTTCATTTTAGTTTATTGCATGGTGAGAGACATGGGTCTAGTTTTAATCTTCAGCATGTAGAAAGCCAGTTTATCCAGCACCATTTATTAAAGGGTGAAGATGTCAGGCCTCTTTGTCAAAGATGAGATGTCTGAGTGTGTTTGAGGTTGTTTCCACATCTTCTAATCTATTCCACTGATCCTCAGGTCTGTAGGTTTTGGGTTTTTTCTTTTTTTCTTTTTTTTTGCCACTACCATGCTGTTTTTATCATAATAGCTCTACAGTATAATTTCAAGTCAGGGACTGTGATGCCTCCTGCCTTGCCTTTGTTGCCCAGAATTGCCTTTGCTATTCTAGGTCTCTTCTGGTTCCAAATGAATTTTGGGATTGTTTTCTCTAATTCTGTGAGATATACTGTTGACATTTTGATAGGAATTGCGTTAAAACTGATTAAAAGCATTATACTACAGTGATATATGCACACCCATGTTTATCAGCACAGTTTGTACTATATTGGAAACTAGAAACAACCCAAATGCCAATCAACCAGTAAAAAGATAAAAAGATGGGGTTCTTCCACACAATGGAGTATTAGTCAGCCATAAAGAATGATAAACTTGAGACAGTTATAGCTAAATGGATGCACTTTGAAACTATACACTTAAGGGAAATAAATTGGACACACGTGTAAATGTCACATTGTTTCTCTAGTATAAGAAATTAAAAGAGTAAATAGGAAACAAAATGTATAATAGACAGTATGAAATAGGCAAAACTGTTCATAAGGAAGAGGGATCTAGAGTGGGGAGGGAGTAAAGGAAGGAAGGAAAAAAAATGAGAATAGAAGAGAAAAATTGAAATGGGGCTTTTGTAAATAAGGAGAAGAGGGTTGGGGATTTAGCTCAGTGGTTCTGTCACCTGCTGGCAAGCGTAAGGTCCCAAGTTTGATTCCCAGTAACAAAGGGAAAAAAAAAAAAGAGGAGAAAAAGAGAGGTTGAAGGAGAGGAGGATGGGCAAAAAAGAGGAATCAAGATACATCATGTACAGGTACAAATTCCCCATGATGGATGTGATCATTATGTATATCTAAATTGTACCAATAAAATTCAAATTTAAAAAGAGCATTTAAATAAAGATCTATGCAATGTTTACTAAAATTCTGTATGTTTTCACCTATATTTTGCTTAAATCCTAAATTTCTAATCATTGCCTTAATCTATAGAAATATGTGATCAAAGTGTAAAGTCATCAAGGATACTGCATCTGAAGGTATTGCAAGATTTAGAGAGAAGCAGAAAGAGCAAGCCACACTTCTGTCATTTCTATTTAAGCAATGGCCACAAAATAATAAAGCTTCAAGAGCTTACTTTTTTCTTGAAAGACCATAATTAGTATAGAATTGTGTTGTTGCTACTCTTAAATTCCTTTCATTATGGCAACCCAGCACTTAAATTTAATATGAAATAATAAAGTATCAAACGCAAGCAATGCAGTTTCTGTTTATATATAACGCTAATGACAGTCTTCTTTCTTTAAATTCTTTTTTTTTTTGGTACCGGGGATCAAACTCTGGACCTTGTGCTTGTGAGGCCGGTGCCGGCACCACTGAGCTAAATCCCTGGACCTCTTTAAACTCTTTATTTATTTATTTATTTATTTTTCCTTAAATTATTTTATTGGTACCTTTTAGGTATACAATACGTTTACATTTATCATTGGGTGCTTGAACATTAACTTTCTGTTCTACAACATTGATGAGATTTGTGATTTTTTTTCTCATTCTTAATACAAGGAACTCATTAAAACATTGTTTATAATAGTTAAAATGGAACAGTTGTTAGGATCAACAATGGTTTACTTCTCTCAATAATTCCATAAGTTTTGAATAATATGAAATTGATGTACAAGAAATGTTTCAATAATGAAATGAAAATTTAATATGGTTCAATCTAGTACATATGTTTATAGTGTCAAATTCACTTATAAGCCTCAATAAAAACTCAATTTTCTCTGGAGAGTAACTAGGGGATCAAAATATTAAACTTTGCTTAAAAACAATGGCTATCAGATGGGCCATTAAAGATGATATGACATGTTGATGTAAAAAATATTCAAATCATGATGCCAAAATAAGACTTAATTATAATGTGTAAAGAATCGATAAACACAAAAGCCAAGTATTCAAAATTAAGGCAAATCTTAAACTTTAAAAACATTAAGATAGGGCCGGGGATTTAGCTCAGTGGTTCAGCTGCTTGCCTCACAAGCCCAAGGACCCAAGTTTGATCCCCGATACCAAAAAACAAAACCAAAAAAAAAAAAAATTAAGATAAAAATCAAGTTCACAACTACTCTTTTATCTATTTTTATGTAGCTCGGGATTTACAAAGCATATTATGAGTGCTTTAATAACCTGATAGGTCAATGTACAAATTGTGATAACATTTGACTAGGTTGGATGCTTGTTTAATATATTGATTTTTCGGTATCATACAAAATATGTCAAACATGAAAACATACCTCATGGTGTATAGCAGAGTTCCATCGTCCTGGATTCGAAGCAGTTTATTTGGCATGGTCATATTATGAGCTACGGACTTTTTTCCATTGTGAAAGAAGGTATCTGGAGTCCAGATTTTGCTAGCCATTAAATTATTAAGTCGAAGGATATTCATAGGACCTTTAAATTTTAAACGTTCATCTTTCCATTTTTGTCGAAAGAAAACATCTATTGTATATTCCTGAAATATAAAATGGCATTGCTTTAAAAATAATAAATGTTTTTATACACTAAAACTCTATAAAATTTCATCAAAAATTATACTCTAGTTTAGAGAGAATTACATTATGAGAATTAAATTTACATCAGAATTATTCTTTCAGGTTATTAATAAATGGCACCACTGAAATGAAGTATGCTATTTCCACAACTTGCTACATATTCTTATGAAAAGAAAAAAATAAATTACTGTATATGCCTCCTTTAGGTGAACAAGGTCCAAGACAAGCAGCTTTACTGAAATCTATATTTTAAAATTGCTTAGAAAGGGAATATGCTTGGCCAGGGTCTAGGTGGGTTGTTTTAGTTTATCCCAAGGGTGAAAAAATATCAGCAGGTAATCTTTCCAGTAGCATTAATAAATAAATATATAGTTAGAAAGGAAGAAAATAAACTACTTTTGAGCATATTATCAGATCTCTATGAGTCATCATTTCTGTTGCCAAAGAAACTGTAGAATATCATATTTCTTTTTAAATCTTGTAAATAATGAGATATATTGTTACCAAGAATATGTTATGAGATAGATTTCTATAAAGTTTATTTATGAAATTAGTTATAATAGAAGTAATTAGATTATTTAAAGAATGAATATTTTGGAAATAAACTTCTTCATATTTATTTTACTGTACAACATCCCTAGAGACCAGCTAGTGATCAATTCTTTTAGTATTACTTACCAATCTTTTAATTTAGCTCTCTCTCCTTCTTGTACTCCATTTCCCTCTCTCTACCCCATCGCCTTTCTCTCTTTCTTTCTTAAGAGGCTGCATGCATTTTACATCAGATAAACAACTCACACAACATTGAAAATCTATTGAATGTTAAAATTTTTGTCAATGTATCTTTGTGCAATCATTTGGTTTATAAATAATTAAAATACCTGAATTGTACAATTGAGATTGAAAATTATGAACCTTTAGCTCAAAACTAGTCTTTATATGTTTCAAAACAAATACCTAGGCAGTTGGTAATTTTACTAAATCAAAATTATGTTGTAAAAAATTAAATTAAAAGGGAGATATAGTAATGAAAATATCACAGATAAATTATTCAATAATGATTCAACAAAATTTGAATGAGTGATGGTAAAAACAAGTACAAACTCTAATGCTGTATGAATAGGAGATAAACAGTTGTTCTGGGCTGCGCTCCTAATTCTCAATTCCCCAATTCCCAAACCCTCTCATTTTTTTATGGCCTGGCTATTTATTTTTTTAATGTTTAATTTCATCCAAATGGAATTGTAAAAATGAATTTATGCAAAAAGTTTTTCCACCAGTAGTCCCTCAAATTCCAACCTAATGTGAATACATTTGGATTTATTTTTCCAGGCCAACTAAAGGCACTGAAAATTTTTTCACAAACTTCAAATTCAAAGTTTCACCTTTTGAAAAATCAGAAGATGTTTTATCTGCTTAAGAAGCTATTGATGTGGCAATCATTTCCTACAGGACTACTTCAAGTTTACAAACAAATTTTCAGGTCATCTCTTCTTAAAAATAGTTTTCAAGAACACTATTTGTCTTCATGGTTCCCAGGGCCCTGTGTGTGTCTTGCCAATCTATCCAAGAAGATCTGTGTCTTTCTCTTCCTCCCGCAAAGGCAGACTCAGGTTATGCCATGGGCAATTTTAAGAATCCACTTTTCTTCTGATTCCTCAAATAGAGCAATTTCTCCACCTGCCTGGGATGAGAATTCTACTCACAACTACAACTCAGTTCCTTGAGTATTTGTGAAGGAAAAAAAAAAAAATAGCTCTCAGTATCTTTATAAAGCTCTGCATTACTGCAAAATCATTTCTATTGCGATTACATGTTTGCTCTTTTGCCTCACAGCTAGCTTGTACATCTTTAAGAAAGGGACTCTGGATTTTATTAGTAGTTATTTCACTTCAAAACACATCAAAGACTATAAAGACTATTACAAACAGCTTGAAAATATCATGAAGAAGAAATATTATTACAGAGATTATCAGAGCCCTATATCCTCTGCTTATCTCTCCTCAATTACATTCCCCAGCTTCCTGAGGAAAAAATTACCTTGAATTTGGTGTTTATCAGTCCCAGATGTGAACTTACAAATTTACTACATGAAAAATGCATTTAGTGCCATGTTTTAAACATTTATATAGGTGGTATCACACTCTCTATTTACTAACAATTGCAATTTTCAGTTACTTTATTGAGATTTATTCATGGCAATATATCTAGCACTTTGATTCATTTTCACTTGTATATTGCATCCTAGTGCAAAACTATTTCAAAATGCAGTCATCTTTCTATTTTAAATTATCAATTATTCATTTTAATCATTTTAATCCTTATTTACACTTTCATTTTCTCACACCAAAGAAACTATTTGATATTTACACATGTGGGTACTATTTATTTCACTTAAGAGTATTGCTTAATAAAGTTCCAAAGGGGTAGGGAAAGTGGGAGGGGAAGGAGAAAGGAAAGAAGGGAAAGGAAAAACTTACGAGAAAAGGAAAAAATGGAAACAAAGTGTAAATAGGGAAGGGTAGAGGAGGTGAAGGGAACACAGGGAATGGGGAAAAAATAAGAACCAAGATACATCATGTACAGGTACCCAATGATAAATGTAAATGTATTGTATACCTAAAATGTACCAATAAAAGAATTAAAGGGAAAAATGCAGTCATCTTTTTTCCTTGATTTAAATATCTTCCATCTTTCCAGTTTGTCATTATGACACTACCACTATGAACATGGTTGTGCAACATTTCTAGCACAAAGGTATAAGAAATACTTTAGATCAGAAGTCAGCAAACTTTTTCTTAACTGCTAGTTAATAAATATTTTAGGATATATGGTCCTTATGGTTAGTGTCACCACTACTCAACTCTCCCAGTATCGTGTAAAAGCAACCATAAACAGTACATAAGTGAATGAGCAAGACAATGTGCCACTAAATATTTGTATACAAAAATAAAAACCAGCTGACAAGATTTGGCCCTTTAGCTATAAGATGGCTGACCACAGCCCTAGACTAACTCTGCTAGTAGAATTATTGGAATATGTCATATATACACTTGAAAATAAGGTATTTTTACACTGAAATCCTACCAGGTATGTGAATTCATCTTCTCAGCAGTGCATACATTTCCTTACTTAACTAGAACTTCTTACTGCATAGACAGAATATTTCACCTCAACCATTAAGATCAGTGCAGAATTATTCATAGTTCTGCCATGTGGATTACTCTATTAACTTTTAAAATGTAACACATTTTTGTTTATTAAAACTTTGCTTTATGAAATATCTGTATATTTCACTTACTTTCCTTTTAGGTTTTCTATGTTTTCTTATTGAGTTATGAAAATACTTTTTATATTATATGCACTATTACTTCCTCAAAGAATATACAGCTCAATTAAAATTACCATAAATATATTCAAAATATCATAAGTATATTCCTATTTCTTATAAAGATGTAAAATGTACTGTTTTTCATGTTTAGGCTTTTCATCCATTATATTTATTGTGTATGATATAATAGTCCAATTTTGTTTCTTTCCAATGGAAAATTAGTTGTATTAGCACTGTTTATCAATCGATTCATCTTTCTGTACACATATGCCATGACATTTCTATCACATATGTAGTGATCACAGAGCTATGGTTCAATTTTTGATTTCTATTTTCAAAGGTTTGTCTATCCACCAATCAATTTTAAATTCTTGATTACAATAGTATAATTTTGCATTCACTATATTTTCCTTATTATCTAGTTGAAAATACCTTGTAATATCAAGTATAGATTTTCATTTTCTTTATATTGGAGTCAGTGTTAATTGTGCTCTTATGTTTTCTAATGCATTGTCTTCTTTTATTGTTTTTTCATTGATCCCTAAATTTTCTATGGTTTTTGTAAGACAGTAATTCTTTACCATTTATTGACAATTTCTCATAAGGCTTCTTGTTACTGAATGTAGCCATTTTCAATGTTTTTATAGAAATGCAGTTTATTTACCTTTTTTTTAATTTTTTTAATTTACATTTATTTTTATTACTAATATTGGACATGTGCCTAGACTATATTGTTTTTAGTGGTGACAATTAAAATGATGGGTACAAAAGAAACAACATACAGATTTTACATGATTAACTGATAAAAATAAATATGGGAAGAACTCAAGAAAATTAGGTAAGAGGACCCATAACAGAACAACCACATATGAACATGGTGCATGTAGAAAAAGTAAATTAAGAGAAATGTTCTATGTCCAAAAAAATTTAAAACGACTATGAAGATTAACAAAGTGAAGTTGTGCTAAAAGAAAATGAAAGTTTGAGAGTGGAGAAAACCAAAGGCAGAATTCAATGAGTTGAGGAGAAACAGAGTTCATGTGAGAAAGGGTAAATTAGTATTCTCTCCTATATAATAGCTTATGTAAGATAATGATATTGGCATTTTCATTCTGTCCACAATTAAACTAAACTCATGTTTCAAAGGGATCCTATGGGACAAGCAGAGACTATGACAGGGAAGTTGAAGGACAGATACTTCATTTATTGGCATTCACCATTTAGGTGATTTATAATACTTACTTTTTTAGTGAGTTGTTAGTATGCAGTTCCTGCACTAAATATATCAAATACAAGGCCAGGAAAAGTCTGTAAGATATTTATTTATGCATATTCTGACATCACATTCACAAGTTTCCAAAAGCAAATGGGCAATACAAAGACTAATAGTACTTTGATTAAACTAACTCTAGTAAAAATAGAACAATAATTTTGGTAAAATTACTATTAAGATATAATGGAAGAAAGCATTAGTACTCACATAGAACAAGTGAAAAACAAAAAGAATATCACTTCTATGCCTACTATGGGCTCTTCATTAGACATGCTAAGAATGACAAAATAATCAACCCTAAAAAAATTCTGGAAAAGAAAATTTGTATTTATCAATGAGGTTATTTAAAGAATGGG